TCATCCGAACCTACGTTACTGACGTAAGAAAGTGTGACGACACAAGAAAAAAAAATCAGACTAATATTATGTAATTCAAGCCGCCTCGGAGGAGGGGGGGGGGGGGGGGTATCAACACGACCCAGCCTCAAGAGGAAGCATATCGCCAAGAAAGGTGCTGCTTTTGTACAGCAGACGATCAAACAGAAGCGTGATACAATCGGTATCACCTACTCAGAATCAAATTAGGAGTGCTTTTGGAGCTACTTCGCCAAGACTCGGATTGACAAGTACACCCCAGCTGTTTGGAGTGTGCACGTGTTGGGGAAAAAAAATCTGGTGAGCCGCACCAAAAACCCACTGGAGCGGTTCAACTGCGAGCTGAAAAGGAGTTCACCGCCCCTCGACCGACAATGCTTGTGTTCGTTACCACAATAGAACAGATATCCCGGAGCTATGTGCAGCGAGTGTCTGATCCACCTTCTAGAGCTAAACGTCAACGTCGAGTAGAAGTTCAGCTTCCTCCCGCAGTTGTATTTGAGTCGTCCGTTGAATCCGACGAGGAGAGTCAACCTGAATCTACGAGTTCAAACTTACATGACGACAGTTACTCCGATGATTCCGACACCGAGGCTAGTGATGATGAAAATGCAATTTCTGATGACGAAATGGGCGCAGTAATCAATTGGGAGGCTAGTAGTAACAATCTACACAACGTAGGTGAATGTACACCATCTCTTAACATAACCGATTCTGAGCACAACGACACTCACCTTGACGGACGAGACTACGACGATAATTGTGATCGGAGTGACCTTCGTGGCTGAAGTGCCGTTGGAGATCGAGGTACTGTAGTAGGTCGAGGATCTGTACGTGGCCGAAGAGCTGTACGCGGACGAGAATCTGTACGTGGTCGTGGATCAGTGTGTGGTTGTGGAGCTGTGCGTGGCCGAGGAGCTGCACCACGTACTGTACGAGGTCGTTGAGCTCGGAGTTCTCGTCATGATGCAAAGCCCCAGACAACTGTGGGTC